AGGGTTCCCTATTGTTTGGAAGTTCTTTAAAACAATGGGTATTATTTTTTATTTAAAAAAAGAGTGAAATTATAACTCATTAGGGCACAGTAAAACCAGTTTGGAGATTGACTCCAGCTTTGTGGAATTCTGCAAAGTAGATATAATTCTTAGGCAGAAAACACATGTGGCCCTTATTACTATTACTGTGGCTTCATTGTAGCCGTAGACAATGTCTTTGGATACATTCCTAACTACAGGAATCTATTTTCTAATAGCCACTCTTCATTTCTTTCAGTAACACTTACATGGTGGCAGTGAAGTCCGTCATCCTGCCGTCCGTCCCACCTTCTCCGCAGTACGTCAGAAGTGAAATCACATGTGCTGGGTTTCTCATCCATGCTACTGACAGCAGTTCCTGCACTGTAAGTCTGATGAAACGTCTGCAGGTTAATTTGCTGCTACAGAAATGAGAAATCACTCTCTTATATTTCCTAACTTGAATTCTGCAACATGGGTCCACACCAGGGGAATCCTAAGGTCATCCTTTCAAATCCATTCCAGAAGGTCCCCAGATTCCCCTATTCCAACAAGATTCAGTTCTCTGCTTGAAAAAGCTCCATGTCGATAAGAAATTAAAATATTGTATTTTCTTTCTGAAACAGGTGTCTTATTTTAACCAGATTTCTGCTAGCATCTTGCCTTATTTTGCTGGAAATCTTGGTGGCTGGTCAAAATCCATTGAAGAGACAGCACTTTCCTGTATACGATTCATAGAGAATGCCACTGATGATGGGTCAGTAAGCATGATTTAAGTGGTAAACTGCATATTTTAACTGGTAAACTTTCAGTCCTCTGTAACCGATTTCCCACTTTTAATTCCAAGTGCCCTTATCCCTGCTTGGATAAGGTGGCAAGTGTCACCTTATTCTTAACACTTGGCAAGCTTTTGGGCCACTGAATAATTTAACATTGGCCTAGGCAAAATGCAGTTAGGAAGAGGTTAACAAAGTCAAACACCAAGTCAAACACCATTGATCTGGATGAGCGTGAAACAAGCTTGAAGACTGTTTTAGGTCGTCCATGGCTCTACTCCCTTCCGGGAGCATGGGCATTAGGAAACCGCCCCCACACAATCACAACATTGTGTATTCTGTAAAATGGTACAAATGTGGTTAAAATGATCATAAACTTTTCAGGCTACAATGATGGAATGTGTTGTTTGAAATTTTATGAAGTCAGAAATGATAAGCTGGCCAGTTGATGGATAGTGTGGGGCTACTCCATGTTCCTCAGGTGTCTGTATGCCAGGAGCACCTCACAAGATGTATGACCTGTTTTAGAGCTTTAAATTAGGGAAGCATTAAAACATAATGGGATCCAATCAATTTTAGTAATAGGAACTACTCTACTAGTGTCATTTAACATATATTCAAGGTGGCTCACCAATTTAGCATCTGTTGCTATATATACACATAAAAAGTACCTGCAAGATATGTTATTGCAGAGAAAGAGAATATTAACTGAGCTCTTCTTTCATAACCATTACATTAGCACTTTATTCCCTAGGCTTCGACATTCATTATTCTTCTCTGTGATTTGCCTTAACTCGTAAGACAAACCAGCATATAAGTCAGCCTCCTCTACAGGATAGCTTTTAAAAGTTGAAAGACTTCTCTGTTAGAATTTAAAGCGCTTAAAAGGTTAGATACATCCTGCTGTTCATTTGTCAAATCTCTGCCTCTGCTCAGCAAATCTTACAGCTCTATGTGAAAAATATAATCAGTATCTGAGCCCTCCTAATCAACTCCACCACTACAACCCTAATCCAAACACCAGCTTCTCTACCTGGGTTATAAGCTTTCACTTTCTGTTATTGCTTCTCCATTCAAGCCACTCTCAACCTAGCAGTTGGATGTCATATCTTTTCTCAAAACCCATGAATAATTTTGCATATCATAGTAAAATCCAACACCTTTTAATGGTTAACAAGGCTCTGTGTAGTATATTAGATTATTTTTCAGAAATATTCACTCCCTCACCACCATCCCCACCTCCATGAATGGAGCGTACTATTCTACTTCCTGTCTTCTTAACCCTGTGACTCATTCATGGAACGTTAGCACATACCATGCAAACAAAAGGTTGAAAAGTGAGGTTGCCCTCATATACCTCTGCCACTGTCATGAGAAAAACATGTCCGAGCTAGCCTGCTGGCCCCAGGACAAGGAAGAGAGACATGGAACAGAGTTGCTTCACCTGAGCCTAGCTTAGACCAGCCAACCCCAAACCAAACTTCACATGGATGTGGGCAAGTCCCACTGAGATTAGCAGAACAGTCTAAAGTAAGCATAGCCCTGAGATGACTCACAGGCATGAGTTAAGTAAAGGTTTATTCTGATATTCTGTGGTTGTTACGCAGCAGAAATTAACAGGGAGAGCCTATAAACTATGATCCCCATGAACTATATGAACTTTTCCCACTAGTTTATCCCCCTCTCTTTGCCAGTCATATTGGCCTCTTTGCTGTTTTCCAATTTACCCAGATATACTCCTTCCTCAGTATAATTACATTTATCTATTACCTCACGTCAAGATACCCAATTTATCGCCTCTGTACCTCCCTGTATATCTGTACAATGTAGTATTATGGATGGAGCTTGAAAATATTGTTAAGTGAAGGAAGCCAGTCACAAAGGACCACGTCTTTCTGCCCCTAAAATGTGAAAGCCTCTTCCCTATTTCGGAGCTTTGACTAGTCCCTAAATACAGTTCCTTGTTTTCTTCACAACTGGTTCCTTCCTGTCATTCTTATTTCAGCAGGAACATCTCCCCCTCAGAGGCCTTCCCTTGATTGTCTAAAGTAGATACACAGTCATTTACAACACCTCTGTGTTAACTCCCTTTACATCATATATTCATGTAATTCGCTCAACAAAAGTGGAAACTTCTACAGGCTGAGTACTTCCCGGGACACCTATAGTAATGAGCAAGTCAAAATCCCTGCCCTGATGTAACCTGTAATCTGGTGGAAAGGGGACAACTAGTGCTAGGTAGGGGTATAAACAATGGAGAAAATTAGAGAATAAGAGAGTTAAGAAGTTGTTGGGACGAGGGAGGAGCTACTTTCTGTAAGGCTGGTCATAGAGACACTAGTACGCTGACTGTAAGGCAGAGGCCTGAAGGAAATAAGGGAGGGTTGACTATGGGGTTGGAAGTGGGCAATGTCAAGAGCAAGTTGAGATTCAAGCCTAGTGGCTTGGCATACAATTGTAGGGGGGAAATGAAGGGAAATTAGTCTTTGGGTTTGTCTGCCCCACCCCCCAGGGGGAAGGGACAAGATTGTTTAAAGCCATATTGAGTTTGAGGTGTTAAGTGTAACATCCAAGTAGGAAGGTCCAGCAGGCAGGTGAGAACATGGGACTGGAACGACGGGTATTAGGGCTAGATGCAGATTAAGGAGTCAGCCACAGAAAAGTGAAGATAGGCTTGTTAAGAAGAGATGTTTTCAAAGGACTGAAGTAAGTGCTTATCACTAAGTCTTAGGGTGTTCAAGAAAATATTTTAAAAATGTAATAAAATATTTTCCCATTTTCTGGTATGTGTTCTGATATATTTTTTAAAATACTTATTTATTTTAGAGAGAAGGGAGGGAGGAGAGGGACAGAAACATCAGTGTGTGGTTGCCTCTCACATGCTCCCCATTGGGGACCTGACACACAACCCAGGCCTGTGCCCCAACTGGGTATCAAACTAGCAACCCCTTGGTTTGCAGGCTAGAGCTCAATCCACTGATCCACACCAGTCAGGGCTCTGGTATGTATTTTTTTCCCTATGCCTCCACTTTCTTCAGCCCCATTAAGTGCATATGGCCTTGTTTGTCTGATTCACTGCCACAATCCCATATGCCTAAGAAAGTATTAGGAGCATAGCGTTTTGGGGAAATAATAAGGAATAAATTAAGTTTGTCTTCCTCTTTAGGCCTTTTTAGCTAAGAAAACAAACATCTGTAATTTCTTTCAAGAAATACATTCTCTCAGGATGTCAGAGTTTGTCTGGTGAATTCCTCTGACAGTGTCCATACACTTTTTTAGTGTTACATTTGGTACCTGCAGTTTATTTCTAATGACCTCACTAATTTATAGATCATTAAAATGATGAACAAAGTCACCCAAGGAAGACAAAATGGACACTAACACTTCTGCTGAAGGCTGTGTGAAAAACATTATACCTGCAGCTGACAGGTTTTTGACTCTCCAGAGCCTTTTTCTTCTGATAGGACCAGTGGACTAAATCAGGTGTTTGGACTAAACGACTACAAAGCATTGCTGTCCGTTTCCAGCCGTATGGCTTGTGCAGCTCCTGTTAAAGGCACCCACTTCCTTGGCTTTGGGATGTTGAGCCATGCCCTGCCATGTTTTCCCGTCTCACTGAAAATGAAAGAACAGCTCCTAGCAAGACTAGAACTGTTCAGTTATACAGATATTAAAAAATAAAAGTGTTTCTTATTTGGTAAATATTTTGCTTTTGAAGCATCAGTAACTAATCACAGCTGTTCCCTTTAGCTACAAATGTATCCAATCAGGTAAAATTCTAAATGAAATACACAATCCACTAGTCATTCCATTATACAGTACAATGGGAGCCTTAAGCCCTGTGAAATACATGTATTAAGTATGAATGTATTCATCACATCAAAGATAATGGGTCTCTGATTAGTGTTCTAACTCTGTTACGGTGATACTTGCATCTCACCCTGACTCCAAAACATATGAACAAAATGCTATTATGTATGATGTACAATTTGCTATGTGCCATCACCCTGGTTAAATACCTCAAACTGAATTTTGGCTGGAATTTCTTTCTTGAAAATCAAGGGCAAAAAAAGAGCTCTTCCATTTTAACCTGAAAAATGCTCATGTGTAATTCTTTATGTGAAAACTGAAACAAAAATTAACCCAAATTAACCAAAGAGATTGTTAATGGACAAGGGCTAGTTAAATCCAGAATTAGTTATTCAGTAAAATAGCAAATAAGTTTTTATTAAATATTGTAAAAATACAGATTTTTTGGCAACTTATAAATAAACTGATACTTTGAACCTGAAAAACAATATAGCTAAAAATTCATTCCCAAATGTACAGCAGTTACCTTTGTTTAGGGGTGGTTCAGATGAGCACATAATTTTGTTTTTAAGGAAAAGAGGATTGTTACAATTAGCTATGTAACCACTTACATACACCTAAGTCCCATCTGTTAAAAAAAATTTATCTTAAAGAATGCAATTTAAACATCTTATGCTTTTCTTCGGTGACTTTCTGCACGCAGCATGAGTACTCCCTGATGGACAGGACTCAGGAAACGGTTTGAACACGCAGACCACACTGACACCTACAACACAGGCCTCTCCCCGGGAGCCCAGCTCCAGCTTGTGAAAAAGGCCCAGTTCAGAATGTAACAAGGCGGTAATTTATGATAGTACTGATCATTATCAAAAATTAACAACTTTAGGTATCTTTGTTTGGGGTTTCTGTGGTTTAGGCACATCCAAAATTTCTTCATAGTCCGCACTCATTCCCTTTGCCCAGCGACCAACTGTAACCATTCGATCTGTCAAGGAACAGAAACGTCAGAATGTAAGAAAAACCATAATCAAATACATCTACCTAGGCTGGTTTTGATTTAGCAAAGGAACTAGTTTTGACATGAATAATCACGAGGAGGGAATACTCCATCACTAAAGGAAAGTGAGCAATTGTGTAATTGATTATAATCCTTGATTTCCGAGTACTACAGGCAATTTCTCATCCCAATTAGGGAAATGCAGCAACTGCTTTGCAATGCACAAATTGATGAGAAAGCGCTTTCATGCTTTCCCAGAGTTCATCATTACAGAGTCAATGAATTCCAAGAGTCTGTAAACAGCAAGACTTATGAAGCATCACTTTTAAATGCACAAAATTCCACCTGTGAAATTATACAACATCTGCTTGTCAGTCTTGTCATTTGGGAAGTGGCAATCCTCCCAGGAGGGAGAATTCAGATTCCACTTCATCATTTCAATCTTATGGCCAACAATGTAGTAAAGACTAACTTCTAGACAAGATTATAAACAAGAACTCTTGGTTTTCAAATGTAAATGTTAGATGCAGGATGTAAAAATGGGCAAACTTACTTATGTAGTACTGTGACTATTTGGAATAAAAAGAAATGTGGTCCCCCCAAAGAAGCACTCCCGGGCTATCTACTATCTTGCTTTCTTCCACGCAGGATTATCATCATTCTAATCCAAGTAAACTAATGTAATAATGGTCTCCACTTCCCCAAATCTGCCATAGGTATAGTGAAGACTTACGAAGTTTTTGATGACCTAGGGTACTATTTCACTAAGAAGAAAATAAAACTGGACAGATACTGTGCGGACAACACAATTTCAATATTTTTGGCAGTTTTTGCAACCAACTCTGAATCCTTTAGGTACATACAAAGCAAACCATATTATGAAGGTACTCAATTATAAAAATATTAAAAGTTATTTTTATATTTCTTATTAGTGAATCCATACTTTTAAGTTCAGGACTGGCTCTATTATTAAATTAGTTGGCAAATATAAATATTTATGAATAAGATGCATTATAAGATCAGGGTCCTCTAGTGCTTATCACTTTTTTTCTCATCTGAGAACAGCAGCGAGTGCTCCGTTACTACCATGCCTACTGCTGACCGAGAAACGGTTAGGTTATCACTACAGCAGGGAGCCAGGCTGCCTTAAATTCAGTAGCACCTCAAATAATAATAAAATGCAGCAAAAGCAGAGGATTACTAATCTTATCCCTCCTAAATGAAAGCCCAGAAGTCTCACCTGAATTCTGACTTTGAGGGCAATCTTTCTTAAAATGTCCCACAGAGCCACAAAGTCTGCAGCAACCACCTAGAAAAAGAACAAAGTCATCAAAAACCTCTCGCACTTACATAGGGTTTTTAACATCTCAAAGCACTTTCATATCATAGCTGGTCCTCCCAACCTTCTCAACTGCAAAGATAGCTGGAGCTAGGAACACATGTGGGTGCCACCATTCCTATTGATAAGTGCATTCTCCATTCCTCTTGACCTCACAGAGCACTAAACTGCGCCTCCCCTTTTGTTGCACCTGGCCTTCAAGGAGAATTGGGAAGGAGGGGAGAGGTATGATGGGAGACACTTGTCCTCTGGTGTGTTCAAGAGCCACTGCACAGAAGCCTGGACCATAGTTGGATAGGCAAGGGTTTCCACACTCTTACAACTGTGAGCAAAACTTGTGTGCTGATGTATTTATTCATCAAGGATGTCCACAGTCTTTATCACATTCTCTAATGATCACTGACCCCCCTAACCCACCCATCCCCCAAAAAAAGGTTAGAAACCACTGCTTTGCAGTGTAGGTCAGATGTGGGTGAGCAGTTACAAAAAGAACAAAAATTAACTTTTGTTTCTATGCCTCCTATCTGCCAGGCACCTTAGCCCTCATTAAAATGCCTATGTACCTACTTTAAGCAACATTCCAGGACTGTGGTTTCTAAAATGAGTCTTCTACGTAATGGTCAAGCATCATCATGAGCATGCTCATAATGTTAAGTAACTTACTCAGAAAATGACCCAGCAGAATATAAACCTCTCACTTCTATGTGATCTACTCTTCTTGCTGCACTTTTTAAAAAAATATTTAGTCATTTTGGTTGACCATCCAAAACCATCTTTGTTCATTAGTCATGTTACAAGACCTGCTTCATAGGATCAAAATTAAAAGGCACACTTGAGCATCTTCCCAGGCCCAGGCCTCCATACTGTTTGTAGAGCCGTGGTGAAAAAACATATTTTAATCCTCATAACTTTTCAAAGTGAATACCATAATTCATTAAATCTAAGTAAGATACCATTGATTATGAGATCTATCATTGTTTTATGTGTCTCTCAGAAAGAAAAAGAAAACATGCCAATTATGTGGGACCTACCGCTGGTGAGATACATTCTGGTTCAGAGATATTAAAATGTGAAAAAATATGCATCTTAGAAGCAAATGAAATATGTAGTTTTTTTCTATCTCCATTTTATAAGTGAAGAAACCGAGATGAGAGACATTAAATAACACAGTCAACATCCCACAGCTAGTAAGTGGTGGTGCACAGCTATAATTCCAAAAGTCTGACTCACTCCAAAAGCTATGCTTTCTCACTGGACTTCTCCAGTGGAACCCCAGACACGACACACGAGGTGTCTAGAACCCCATGGTATTGGCCATCATATTAACAAATGACTCACATTAACAGATGACAACCTACTTAAAGTTTTAGACATTAGAGACATTATTGTGAGGACTTTAGGACATTAGCTGAGCTAAAGATAAATAAGGAAGTTACAGGATCCCATGCCAGACAATCAGGGAAACGTTTAGAAACAAAAATTACTACAAATATGATAGCGTAAGCAGCCTTTTACAAAAAATGGTATGCTAGGCTGAGATTAAATTCACAATACTATTTTTTAAATCTCATATTTAAAATCTTATATTAGTTTGAGATATAATCCCTTTGCTTGTTATGTTTAAAAGTAGAAATTTGTAATATATTCTCATAATGATGCTAAAGCAAGCAGAGTTTGAAATACTCACCTTAGTTTTTTCTGATTTGACTTATTATCAAGTCATATTACCCAAAAAGTCCAGTACATGGAATAGCGCTTAATAAAAATAATGAAATTCTCAAGATTTTGCTACTCATTCAAAAATGTATTCAAGAATGGTTAACACTGCAAATTAAATATAACTGCATGCTGACTCACCATGTCTGACATACGAGGGTAACAGTACTCACCATCAGCATAGACTCCTTTGGGATTATCAGGGCAAGATCTGGACAGGTGCCCCATTTCCCCACAAACAAAGCATTTTGCAAAAGGAAATTCACCTGTAAGGGTCAAACAGTTCCTGTTACGTCAATCATGTATACTACAAGTCATGTAATTCATATTATTTTAAAATGTTCTGAGAAGAAAATAAGTTTTTACATAATTTATAATTAATCTTATTTCAAAAAGTAGTACACTTGTAACCCTGTTTTCTCTGTTTTTCAACAAAAAAACCCAGTTGGCTACTTATTGTCCACTTTCCCACTTTTGATAAGCAAATCAAAATCTGACAAGAAAACAGAACATACCGAGAGCTGGGTCTACTTTAGCCTTGCACTTGGTTATCTCGTGCTCTGTAGATCCACATCGGTAACATATCCCAGTGCCCATATCTTGATTCTCAAGGGCGGCTGGGCAATCTGCAATCCCATGGCCAGGTTTTCTACAATGAAAACATACCTGGGAAAACAAAATGTTAGTTTCCTCACTGCAAACCCGCACTGCCTTTATCAGTTCTTGTTATCAAAAGTATCTTTGAAACATTTCTCACTGTAAGGTTATCTAGCACTTTTTCTAAAATCTCAGATTTTATCTGAGTAAAAAAAGCCTTTCACACAATCCTAAACAATAAGAAATGTCCTTTCCACCAGGGTGTCAGTGTTTTTGAAAACCCTCTGTCCATCAATTTCAGACACAAAGTTGGAAGGGGCTCTGCAGGAGGTCATCACTTAAATGAATTAAGCAACTATGGACTAAATATTTCATGAATGCAGATGTCTGACTAGAAAAACTGAGTTTTCTGGAGTAGGCAATACATAAAATTATCACTCAAAATTAATACTTACACATTTAAAGTTCATATAATTGAATGAATGTGGGTTAAATGATTCCATTTATATTAGGATTCAAATCATAAACTAAATTTCATACCAAAAAGTATACCTTACAGTTTTAATATCTTTATAATACATATCTTTTACTATTCAAAAAGAGATGTTTCATTTTTAGAATGTATACATAATTCTTTTTAAAGGAATAATTCTAAGATGAATTATTTAGCTCCAACATAACACTGAACAATGGTTTGCTTTTTTACATACTGTCTAGCAATTTGGAGGATTTTTTGCTACATTGAATGAGAACATCAGTCATAATCAAATTTAAACTATTTTATTTAAACTGGAAAAAGACATATATAGTTCTTGGATAATAAATAGTTCACCTATGATTTTTTTCAAAGTGTAAAAATGAGTTTTTTAAAAAATAAATTCAATAGGCAAAATAAAACATAACGTTTTACGTTATGTAAAAGCACTATGTCCTTTCTCTTTTTTCCCTGTTTAATAACAATGGAGAAAAATGAGTTCCTTTATTCTTTAGTATCTTTTACATTCAGAATGAGCTGGTCCAAACAAAGGAATGCATTTATTTATTTATTTACTTATTTATCCTCACCCAAGGATATGTTCAATTTTAGGGAGGGAGGAAGAGATATTGATCAGTGATCAGCTGCCTCCCATATGTGCCAACCAGAACTCAAACCCACAACCTATAGGTATGTGCTCTGACTTGGGAAGTAAACCTGAAGCCTTTTGGTGTACCAGGATGACACTCTGAACAACTGAACCCCTTGGCCAAGGCAAGAAAATGCATTTATTCTTCAACTGGAAGAAAAGCTAATGCTAAATTTTGGATCACCAACATAAGAGGTCTTGAATTTTTGGTGAAGTCAAGGTGGTTTCTAATAACCTGACAGCTCACTGACTAGTTTTTATGTAAATTTCAAATACAAGTTTCTTGAATGATCCTTAAATTTTATATAAACTGGACTGTGGGAAATCGAACTAGTAAGTATCTACATCTTAATTTATTAGCAATTAAGAACTGATCCAGACTTCCGGCCAAAATGGAGGCATAGGTGGACATGCTGTGCTTCCTCACACAACCAAAATTAAGGACAACAAAAATTTAGAAACAAAAAAACAACCAGAATAGACAGAAAATCAAACTGTATGGAAGTCCCAACAACCATTCATCCAGACCGGTAAGGGGTGGAGTCGGCAGCCGGCAGAGAGGGATTGCAGCAGGAAAAAGCTGTGACTGCCAGACCCCAGCGGCAGACCCTGGGTGCAGGCAAGAGCGCAAGGAGGCAACAAGCAGATCCAGTGAAGCACGCAAGGCAGCTGACTGTCCAGTCACATATTCGCATGCAGATAAACCAGGTGAAAACGAGCAGCGAGACAGACCACGCAACCCAGGGCCTCAGCGCCCGGAAATAAAGCCTAAAAGCACTGACTGAAAACACTTGTGGGGGTTGAGGTGCTGGGAGAGACTCCCAGCCTCACAGGTAAGTTCGTTGGAGAGACCCACAGAGTCCTAGAACATACACAAGCCCACCCACCCGGGAACCAGCACCAGAAGGGCCCAATTTGCTTGTGGAAGCAGGAGAGGGGACTGAAATCCAACTAAGAGCGGAGCAAGCGCCACTATTCCCTCTCTGACCCCGCCCCCACATACAGCAGCACAACCCAGCTACTGGGTTGCCCCGCCCTGGTGGACACCTAAGCCTCTGCCCCTCATACGTACCAGCCACGATCAGAACCCCCCCCGCAAAATGGCTCAAACAGAAGAACAAATCAAAGCCCCAGAGCTATCAGATGCACAGTTCAAAGCACTGGTGATCAGGATGCTCACAAAATTGGTTGATTTTGGTCGCAAATTAGATGAAAAAAGGAGAACTTCCCCAATCTGGTAAAGGAAATAGACTTCCAGGAAGTCCAGGAAGCTCAGAGAGTCCCAAAGAAGTTGGACCCAAAAAGGAACACACCAAGGCACATCATAATTACATTACCCAAGATTAAAATGAAGGAGAGAATTGGAGACAATAACCTACAAAGGAGTTCCCATAAGACTGTCAGCTAATTTCTCAAAAGAAATCTTACAGGCAAGAAGGGGCTGGAAAGAAGTATTCTAAGTCATGAAAGGCAAGGACCTACATCCAAGATTGCTCTATCCAGCAAAGCTTTCATTTAGAATGGAAGGGCAGATAAAGCACTTCTCAGATAAGGTCAAGTTAAAGGAGTTCATCATCACCAAGCCCTTATTTTATGAAATGTTAAAGGGACTTATCTAAGAAAAAGAAGATAAAAATATGAACAGTAAAAAGATAGCAAACTCACAGTTATTAACAACCACATCTAAAACAAAAGCAAACTAAGCAAACAACTAGAACAGGAATAGAACCACAGAAATGGAGATCACATGGAGGGTTAGCAATAGGGGAATGGGAGGAGGAGAGAGGAGGAAAGGTACAGAGAATATGTAACATAGACGGTAGGGAGAAAATAGGGGGAGGGCAAGAATAGTATGGGAAATGTAGAAGCTAAAGAACTTATGGCACATGGACATGACTAAAGGGGGAGAATGTGGGTGGGAGGGGGTGTGGAGGATGGAGGGGAAGGAAGGGGGGGGAAGTGGGACAACTATAATAGCATAATCAATAAAATATATTATAAAAAAAAGAACTGATGCTAAGTATGAGGTATTCAGAAAATTACTAGAAAACCAGTTGAAGGTAGGTCACAATAAGCCATACTATTTAAAGTATATACTTTAAAGCATTCCTTAAAAAAAAAAAACCCAAAAACCAAAAAAGAACAATGTCTTTCTGCCTTAATTACAAACATTAACTTCTCTTAAAAGGTCACAATATTAACCTTTTCCAAATAGTATGCAAGTCACAATGCTGTTTATGTCAATGAAATTATCTTTAAATTAAATTACATTTAACTTGACTTAAAAATATTTAAAAATAAGTGTACAATCTAAACAAAACTATCCTGATCCAAATAGAAATAATTATCTTTTCTATCTCCATTTATCCATAAGTAATGTCTTGTCAGTATTATCTTTAAGTAATTATCTTTAAATATGACACTGCACGAAACCAATCCTGCAAATGTCAGAAGCTACATTTATGGCAGTTATAACACTTCAAGCCTGCACTGGTACAAACAGAGCTCTACATTTAGTAATTCTAATAAAAAATGAAAAGTATAAAATGATAACAAATGATCCTTATGTAGTACCCTGCTAGAAGACTCGGGGAATTCACTTAGAGAAGGGAAGGAATTATACAAGGTACTTCACTGCCTGTGTCTGACACAGTTTAAAATCTAGGGCTGGGCACCACAGAAATAAACCCGCATCCCCCCGCCTTCCTCTGGGTGTGAGATGGGAGGGAAGGAGCAATGATTAGGGAGAGTCTCAAGAAGTTTTAACCCTGCTGCTCTATTCCTAATTACTGTGATTTGTATTAGAGCTCCTTCTTGTGTCTGTTTTTCATGCATAAAGATAAAAGCACATCCTTTCCAAGTCACCGGAAGGACACCTATTTAACCTGTTGTGCTCAACCTTCCTACTTATTTTGATCTTTTTCAAAAATGGCTGTTTGAAAAAGGGCTATGTGGAAACAGATACAAGATACAGGTTTTGAGGTCAGACTCTGGGTTTGAAAAAAAAAATTTTTTTTTGGACGGACTACATAGTAAGCAGCCCATTTAGATTATATGCATTTAACAACACTTACATAGTACCAGCCAGCATTCTAAGCAATCAAGTGTTAACACTTTTTCCTGGGTTTGAATTTCCCATTTGCTACTAGCTAAGTGGTTTTCAGGAAGATACTTACCCTACCTACACATTAGTGTTTCTACCCATAACATGGGAATGCCAGCACATCTGTAGTGTCATTCTGATAATTAATCAGTCCGCTAAGTACCAAGCATGCAGTTACTAGCCCTCACAGAGATGCTTTATACATTTAGTACATAACAGCAATCAGACTGCTAAAATATGAGTATAGGATTAAGTTTCTAGCCATATAAAGTAATATTTTGGTAGAAGTGACCATCTTACCATTGCATTTTTCTTTGCTGCTTGTCTTTTTAATCGTCTTCCTTCCCTGCGACTATCTTTTTTCAAAGCAACTGCAATTTCTTCCCTTACTTCCTGACTGTTTGTTGCTATTGTCTCCCCACTGTGAGCCATCTGAGAGTTTTGTCTTAGGTATTCCATAAATCCATTCACATCTTCATTTAAGTACTCCTTTTTCTTCTTGTTCTTTTTGTGTTTTGCTTGGGGTGCATCATTTTTAAGGGGCAGTCTATTGGCTTCAAGTTGTTTGTTTTGGGGGAGGCTTTGGCTTTTTTCTTCACAGGACCCCTTCTTCATATCCTCCCATGATGTTGCAGGCAAGGGTCTTTTGTTACGTGCGGTAGTAACTCGGGCCCATCTGGTCATGGTTTCACCAGGGGTACTGTATCAAGCTTTAAGACAAGCATGACAATTAGACATTTAAAAGAAAAAAACTAAAGATACATGACATATAACTATATCACATATGCCCATGTTAAAGTTTGAGTTATTAAAACATGTTTTTTCACTTCATTTAGGTATCTGCATATTTAATTCTATGTGTTGCATATAGTCCCGTAATGTAAATGTAGCCCTTACCACAGAAGCTACCACACCAGTAAAAAACAAGAGCATGCCTACTATAATATAAATACTTGCTTAAAACTGGAAAACATCAAGAAACCAGATTATTTTGCAAAATTTAAATCACAAAGTAGTAACAGTGAATTAAGTTACTCTTCCAAACTTCGCAGCTTTCCTACCCGTTTCTTTTCCTGTCTCCAAATCCCAGGGCTACTCACTCCCAATCTTGTTAACCTTCCATTTCAACGCAAAGCATCCGCTTTGGCAGATTGTACACAAAAATCCTGTGGTTTCACGTGGTTTGCCACTACAACTCTCCGGCAGATTGATAAGTGAATATGTAAGTGTTCACAGTCACGTGATGGGACCGGGTCTAGCAAATCATCTTCAATTAAGCTGCACTCCTCTTACGGCAGCATCATGTGCAACAACCAATGTTTTAAAACCTCCGTTCCCGTAGTCGAACACCCCTTCAACACAACCCGAGGGGCGGGACCAAGAAACAGGTGAGATGCTGTGCGTCACTTGGCACCACGCGCATACACTCGTCACTGCTGATCGTGAGACTACCCCAGTGAAAGTGGATAACCCTTCCCCGGGGGAAGGGGACAACTCCGAGTATCAAGCCCCGACGGTCCGCGTCTACTCGCAGGGCGGGCTCCAGCGGGACCTACGCGCCCACCCGAGTGGCCAGCGCCCTACAGCTGAGCCCGTCCCGGCGCGGGCGTCCGGGAAGGCCGCGCAGCCCGGCCCTGCAGCCCTACCTGGTGCTGAGGGCACCGGGGTGCCTAGCAGCTAGGCCCTCTGCCCTCCAGCCGGGTCCCAGGAAACCAGGGAGGCCACTCTACCGCTTTGTAGGCGGTCCCGGGACCCTCTCCCGTCCCACCGCCCGCGTCTTCTCACCACACGTGAATCCTCCAGAGCAGCAGAGTCAGCGTGCCAGAGAAGCCCGTTCCCCCCCAGCAGCGGCCTAGGGACCGGAAGCACGTCGTCTTTGAGAGTGCGTCACTTCCTGCGGGCCAAGGTGGTTTGGGATGTTTGGGCAGTCCGCTAACTGGAGGGGCTCATGCTCGGTGGGTGAATGTGGCCAAGTGGACGTTGACGGAGCGCGTATAATTTAAAGCGTGCTGCATTGGACATCTGGAACTCAAAGATGGCGGCGATTGTTCACTCCTTGCTGTCTGGAACTCACATTTCAGTGGCGAAATGGACGGGAAGATCGGTGGGTTGGGACACTGGGAAAGCTTTCTTAAAAAGATGACCTTTGAACTTCGAAAAACAAAATTTGGTGAAAGTCGCTGCGGGAGGGAATTAAGAGCTTTCTAGGCAGGTGTAAGATAAAAAACATTAGCGCAGTGGGTGTAAATCACTGTGCTAGAACTCTAAAAAAGATTTGGGGGCCCTGTTGATAGAAGGCGATGCCAAATGATCCTTCTGCCCAACGCTATTGAAGCATTCAACTGAAATATATTACACTGTAGCCAAAGTTCTCTTCTTAAACCCTGCTCTCCGAAACAGCCCATTATTTCAACAACCCCTCCCGAACGGCTACCACCAACAGTTGTACCTATCTTATCCACTCAAGCTCCCATTCCCATCATCAGGCTGGATCTATTTTGTCACTTAAATTATCCGTCCACTTCTTTGTCTCTACCGCCATCTCCCTTGTCACAGGTTTCAATATCTCATCCGGATTACTGGCAGCTGGTCTGTGCCTTCGTACTTGCACTCCCTGAAATCCATTTTCCATGCTTTAACCAAGTGAACTTCTGAAAATGTAAACCAGATGTTGCTTTCCTGCTTTAATCCCTTGCATAGTTTCCCACTGTTCTTAGGATAAAGTTCAAACTCCTTAACATGATATTAAGTCCCTGCTTGTTCACTGTCTTCCAACTTGCACAATCTTCCTCCTCTGACCTGCATGCATAGGAACCTTCCCTCAGTTTAGCAAATGCCCTATGTTCCTATGTTCCTTGCTGTCTCCAGATCTCTACATAGGCTGTTCTCTTTGTATGATACTCTTTTTCTTTCAATTAATTTATTTCCTAATAACCCCTTAAGCCTTTTAACATTTTCTCATGTAATCTTTCCAACTATGCCAATCCCCTGTTGTACACTCGTGGCAGTTTATACAGCATTTTTCAAATTTGTGATTCTGTAGAGTCGTGTAATAAATTGTTTATTGTATCCCCGTTGCCTGGTATGTATTTAGTGCTCATTTCATTTTTTATAACTAAATGAAGAATAGAGACTGCAATGCTTGCAAACTAGAAAGTAACCCACGTTTCATTGAGAGGAAGAACAAAATCTATGCAAGTGGTGGGATTTGGTATTGTAAAAATCACAAATATCCTACCTAGGTCTTATGGTAGGGAAATTGTTAAAAGACAAGTCCTCCAGCTTTTCAATAGGGGAAGCTTTCTAAAACGTAGGATAGTGCTGTTCATACCATAATGTTTTCAGTTATCTGGAAACATTCAGCACTTTTAACCTAGTGATGTTTCATAAAGGGATTTTCTTCACAGAAGCCAGGTACCTGCACATAACATGAACCACTAGAGGGTGCATTCAGCTAAAACTTGTCTTTTAGTATTGTGCTGAATTTCAAACTGTAGGTTGTTCATTCCTGGGAGTGAAAGAACATGATCTCAATTTGTTTTTGTGAAATTATGTCAAATAAATATTAGTAATTGAGCAAATAGGTCATGGAAATCCTTTGGGATTCAGGAGAAAATGTTACTGTTAGTGCTACTGATAGCTAACTGAACAATTTATAGGTAACACTGTGCTGAATGCTTTACATTCATCACCTAATCACCCAATATCTTGAGAAGTAAGTACTATTGTTTTCTCCATTTAGCAATGAGGAAATAAGCTTGGAGAGTTGAAGTAACTTATCCAAGGTTACACATCTAGTAAAAAGCAGAGTCAGGATTTGAACCAAGATCTCAGTCCAAAGGTGTGGGCTCTACTACTTTGAAACACTGCAGAGGATTGTTTGCCTGAACCCACTTTTAAAACAGTCTTTACTAAGTTATCCTTGTGTGAGACTTTTTTGGAGAATGTATTCACTTTTATAATTCAAGGGATTGTCTTTTTATTAAATTTTTCCATTCAGATAAATTGAAATACTGGATATGTATTGTTTTCATAGCAGTATTATCCACAGGGTAAATTAAGTAAGGAGCTAGAGTTTGGGTTATGAAGGGCAAAGTACTTCATTTTTAGAAAATTGTTAAGTAGGTTATGCATACAGAAAAGGATATGAAACATGAGGTAATTATAAAACACATGTTTGTGTAAATACTGCACAGGTTAAGAAGCTGGCCATTGCCAGATACTGTTTTAAATTATTAATGTAATTTTTTGCACAGGCAATATATTTTTATGTTTTAAAATTAGTTTGTTATGATGATACACAATTTCTACAAAATATCTCTTATCCTGATAACTATACATCCTGGACAAAATACAAAAAAACAGCTACCTGGGGATTCCAAAGAATAAATAAAAGCAGACACTAGTGGAGGGGGGTCAAAACCTGAAGCAGCAACTAGCACATGGGTGAGTGTACCTGTGTGTGTCTTTACTCTGAGGGTGGGCCACAGTCACAAAGTACATGAGTAGCTAAAACTGTAATAGAAAGCCCACCATCATCTTTCTGGCTGAAAGGACCAGAAAAAAAAAGGCATGCAACAACCATACCTGGATAGTGAGTGGGGAGTTCCGGAAGGAAGAGAGCCTGAAGGAGTATTCCTCTAGCTCTGTATGTGAATCCCTCACAGGTCTCAAGCTGGTCCCCGGACCCACATTCACAAGGCAGGCTCAGAGGCTTAATAAAATAAACTAAGATTTGAATTGCCACCCACCAAAAGATAAAGCCTATAACACAAGTCTAAAAAGCTTAATTGCCCATTTCAATTTTCTTTTTCATAAAGAGTAAAACAACTCAATGTATATACAAAATGATGTCCAGGATAAAATCCAGAATGTAAATTTAGAACTGGTTCAGTGAGTTTAAATTCCAGGCTGTAAGAATTATTCCTCCTCACCCTGGTTAGTCAACAATGAAGGGTCACAGATTAGATTCCTGCTCAGGGCACATGCCTAGGCTATGGGTTCAGTCCCCAGTCTGGGCGTGTATGAAAGGCAACTGATTGATTGATGCTTCTCTCTCAGATCAATGTTTCCTTCCCTAATCCTCTCTCAAAAATCAATGATTATGTCCTCAGGTGAGGATTAAATAAAGAATTATTGTTTTTTAATTTGCATGCTATTTTCCAGAGTCCTCCAAGCGCTGATCTATGCATTATGTTTTATAGCTGCATTCAGTGGGACACGCAGGAGGAGTGTTCTCATTTCATCTTACCTGGGATTGAAACCACTGCCATTAAAATTTAAATCCTCATTCTTGCCTAGACTCTCAGAGTAAAAGGTGCTTAGCCAGCAGGCTACAATGACTAGTAGGTACTGCAGGACTAAGAGTGTCCAAGGCTCAGCCAGGGTGAGCCAGCTCTGAGTCTCACACTAGCATGGGCTGCTCCAAACCAACCTATTTTACTGGAGAGTAAATTGTGAGGAAGGATAGTAAATCTAGAAAGGAAGGATAGGAACAGATTTTGCCAAATTAGTTCTTTTAGCCAAATGAAAAGTGCCTTTTATCCTTTAAAGCTTATGAAGTGAAGAACTATACAAAGTTCTTTAGTTCACATAGTAGATCCCATAAAATAGATCTAGAGAAGAGGGTTGAGTATAGAAAAAATGTACCTAATACTGTGCTCAGAATTGTCTTGTCACTTATTGAACTTCATTTAAGTATATGGAAAAATCAAGAAAGAGAGGAAAAGGATTAATGACCCTGCTGCTGAAAATAAAAATGAGATCCAGATCAGTGACACTCTAATAGCTTCTTTCTTAAAAATCTGTTGATGATTTATGAACCCTTATGACCCCTGCTTGATGGACCCTTATGATACGGCCTGGGGGTAATAGAATTATGAGTTTCTTTACCATTTTATAAATGTTCTTTGATGAGTATGCATTACAGTTAGAATAATTATTTTAAAGTTTTTTAATCCATGGGAGTTTTGAAACAGCACATGACAATTTCCAATTACCTATAGATTCAGAGAAATACATATCTTTAAGAATCTTATGTTATTGTGTGATAGGTCAGTAAACAAAGTATCAGAGAAGTTAAGTGATTACCTAGAACACACTTCTAGTGACTGAGTTTTATTACCTGATATGCAAATACAGATAACCCTATATATTTTTCCTTTGGTATTATTGGTTTTCTCACTGTAGTAACTAAGTAACGAATTATTGAGCCTCACTGTATTGCCCTTCACAGGTTTTGTGTTTTTTACAACCAAAGGCAAGACCCTCCACCAAAAAAAATATTATGACTCACTTTATTACTGTACTTGCCTTATGATGGTGGTCTGGAACTGAACTCACGATGTCTCCAAGGCATGACTGTATTACTAAGTATTACTTCAGAAGAGAAAGGAAATGGTTTCCAAAGTGTCTAACAGAAGGAACCCAATGGTGGAAGTTGCTTGAGGTTACTAGCAATAGGAATAATATGAAGCTTGTGCTCTCCCCTGAAAAAGCTTGCACCTTTTTCATATTTTTTCTTAAATATGAGAAATAAAATGAAATATTGGAAATACTAATCACAAAAATGATATGGTCTTCTCACTCTCACCTTCTTCTGGTTTGTTTCTCAAGTTCAAGCTTCTAATCATACACTTAAGTGGTTAGAGTGTCAAGTACTTCAAACAAATACGTAACCCTAAATTACCTCCAGTGGTAAGATTTACAAGCTCTCATCTCTGAAATGAGGACTTCCTCCTTAGTCTGAGGAAATGCTACCTGATAGGAGCTTTAGACTGTTTCTTCAAAGGGACTAACGGGCAATCTGTAGTTACCCGTGTGAGTCTATGAAGTGGAGTATGTGAGGAATAAGCAT